GCAAGGTGGGAAGGGCTGGGAAAAGAAGGAATTGCTTATTCCAGCCTCTGGTCTGCTATGGTGTAGGTGATAAACACCTTTAATAAACAAAGCAGGTAAGGGCAGGCTGGTCTGAAGCAGTCCCTTCCTTCTCTTAGCAAGCTGCTGACTCTGGCACTGCACCGAATTCTGACCAGGAAAATGTTATGTTTGTTCCTGGATAGTAAGTGCTGGCCCTCACCCCAACAGGATCAGGGGTGAGGGAAAAGGCTGCTCAGATCCCCTTGCAGTTACTCACCTGTCTGCAGCAGGTGTGGGGCCTTGGGAGAAAGCCATCTTCTGGCAACCACTTGGCTCTCCAGAGCTTCCTTGCCCTCTGGCATTGCTTCTCTCCTGGCTGGCTGGAGAGGACTGAGGGCAGCTGAAGGTGCCAGCTACCTCTGATGCAGGGAGCTGCCTTGTGTGCATGGCTGTACATCACCATGGCATTGTGGCTGGGGGAGCTCTGGGTCCCTGCTGCACCCAGCCAAACTGCAGTGGGAGGGCATCAACCTGCTGAGGTCTCTGGGGTGTGGGGAAGACTGACACTAACATGCTTCTGCCTGGCCACAGAGTATCCTGGAGCAGTTCAACCCTGCACTGGAGAACCTGGTGTACCTGGGGAACAATTACCTGCATGCGTTCCATGGTGAGTCAGGTCCTGCATGGCCCAGGCTCCAGATCGTGCTGCTGCATCCATCCTGGGTATCCACTGTGTGCCAGGAGGGACTGCTATCCCTCAGGGCAAGGCTGCTGGTCCCCGCGTGGCATGTCCTCAGCTGCTTTTCCTCACCTTTCTCCTGCTCCAGTACCCACTGATGTTACTAGGCACAGACGGGAAGAGACAGAGCGCCCTTGCCTATAGGCCCTGTCCCAGGGGGGTGTCTGTCCTCTGTGCTGCTTGCTGGGGCTGGTGAGGGTGGGAAGTAAGGCCAGATCCTTACTTTCCCTCTCCTCTCCTCGCAGCATTATCCAAAGCGGCTGAAGTGTATTTTAAGGCAATTGAGAAGATTGGGGAGCAAGCACTGCAGAGCTCCTCCTCACACATGTTGGGTAAGGCTCTCCTGCTCTCCACCCTCTGTCCTGTGATGAGCCACAGTTACACTTTTTTGGCCTTCTCCCTTAGCTGGTCCCTTTCCAGATATTGGGGGAAGGAAGAGGGCTCCTCTAAATGTTGTCTGACAGCACCAGGTCCTGTCCAGGCAATGAGAGTCAACTGTGTTATGTATCTTTGAATATCCCCTAAGGCCCCAGCAGTCTCCCCTGTATCTCTCTGAGATCAGTGACTAAGCTCAGCTCCTGGGGTGGACCTGCAGTGATGGACCTCTCATGGAAGTCAGTCCTTGCTGAGGCATTCTGCCTTGCAAGTTGAAGTTTTCATCTTGGGGAAACTATTCTGCTCCTCCTTGCAGGTGTGAGGCAAAAGCTGGAGAGCATGGACTGAGAAGAGCTGGTTGGGTGTTGTCCTCCTGAGGCTGCAACCAGCTGGAAGGGCAGCTGGGAGCCAAGGGGCTTATGCCCAGCAGCACAAATAATTCCACAGCCTAACGATGGCTGCTGAAAACACGTTCAGGGAACTGCTCTGATACTGAACATTTTAGTAAAAAACTTACTGCAGACTCCTGCCATCATCTGCACCAGCCAGATGACTCCTCTGCTCCCTGTCACCAGTCTCTTCCCTTCACAGCTACATTCCTGTGAGACAGCCAGAGCCATGCACAGCATCTTGGGGGGCAATGAGGGTAGAAATGGGGCTCACAGGGGCTGTGGTAGAGCAGAAACTTGGCAGTGGGGGAGTAGTGGTGGAGCTAAGCCTTGGGAAGGAAGGCTACCAGCTCCTCTCAGGGTGCAGTGGTTGAGGTATATGATGGACTTTCACACCCATTTATCATCAGCCTAAGACACACTCTTTTGATCTCCCTCCTGGGGTGCACAAGGAAATGAAGCTGTGGGGTTTTCCCACCCTCTCATGTGTCTTTCTCTAAAGGTGAAATTCTGATGCAGATGTCTGCCACACAAAGACTCCTGAGCTCTGATTTGGAAATTGTGGTGAGTTATTTTTCATGGGGCCGGTGCAGGTGGGGGAAAAAAGGGACTTTCTTCACAGCAAACTGGTGTTTTCTCGATTTTCCCCATCTCCTGCTCTTTGATATGCCTGCTGGCCCTGCTGCGCGTGACATGGGTGTGTTACAGAGCTGGTGTGACCAGAGCCTGGCTGTTCAATGTTTGGTGTCATTAGTGTGCTGTCACCACCTCTCTGCAATTGCAGTGCCAGGTGTGCAGTTAACTGATCAGTGCTTGGCTCTGAAGGTGAGGCAAGGCTGCCCTCTCCTTCCCTGGGTGGCAGTGGTGGGACAGGAGTGGAGGGGTTGCTAACCCTTCCAGACACTGCTGGTTGTGCCCCTGCCGAAGATCGTGGATAAATCTCGGGGTGGGGGGGGATGTTGCTGAGTCCCAAACCCTAGGCTGCAGGGCTGCTCCGTGGTAGCCCTAATGTGCCCCCTTCTGGCTTCCATTTGGGGTTCAGGTGGAAAAGGAGTCACTAGCTCTGTGGGTTTTACAAACTGCCCCTTCAACCTATATGGTGAAGGGAAGAGGGTGATGGATCCTTCACCTGTTCCAGGCTCAGACGTTCCACGTGGACCTGCTGCAGCACATGGAGAAGAACACAAAAATGGATGTGCAGTTCATCAGTGTGAGTGATGAGCTCCCTTCTCAGCCCGTCTTGTTTCTCTCTCCTCTCTACCCAAAAGCTTTCACTTGAGCACTTGGGGTGTTTCCTAGACTTTCCTCAGCAGGAATTTCAGGGGGGTTTATCTTCCTTGCTCACTGTGGACCAACTCCCCACTCCTAGTTTGGCTGATGATGGAGGGTTAAAGAGGGCAGGCAACTGTTCTCCTTCCTGTAGTGTAGGGACTTGCCAAGTGCTTAAATGGGGCTGAGAGACCTGACATCCCAAAAGTAGAGTTTCCAGCTTCCCTGAACCACAGCTTTTGCATGGATGTGGGTCCTGTGCCATTGTGGCCCGGGGGGCCATGCCAGCGGGTAGTGTCATGGAGGGAGACAGAGGCCTGAGGATTTGCTCCCAGTGCCAGGGGAGCTGGGCACCAATTTTGGCTCCTGAGATCCTGAGGCTCCTTAGCGCTCCAGGGCCCTTCAAAGTGAAAACTAAAGAAATATTGTTTTTATAAGAGAACAAGTCAAAGCCTGATTTTAAGGGTCTCAGATGCTCAACCACCCATCAGAGCAGAGTAGCACCACAGTGTGACTGGGTCTCTGGTTCCTCACCCAGCCTGGTTTCTCTGTGGCAGGAAAGCCAGAAGCAGTATGAGCTGCAGTACCAGCGCAGAGCCACCAACCTGGATAAGTGCATGGCAGAGCTGTGGAGAATGGAGAGAGCTCGTGATAAAAATGTCCGGGAGATGAAGGTGAGTACTGATTGCAGGAAGGGGAGTTAGCAAAAAGAACTGGGTGATTTATCTGGAGCCAGGACTGATTTCTGAGCAGCCTTGTCTTTCCTTAAAAGCCAGGGGGCTGCCCCCAACATTCAAAAGGCATCTGGCTTATCTGGAAAGGAGGAAACTCCTAACCTGCAGGGTGCTGCTGGTCTGTGGTGCTCACTCCTGCCAAGCTCTTGCCTCATTTAACAGGCCCCAGTGAGCAAGGACTCGGTCCCTGGCATGCTGCTCTGTCTCCTCTGTGCTGCTTCTGCACTGCAAGTGGACTGGGAAGCTTCTAGGCGTGATGACCAACTTCACCCCCTCCCCTGCCGTGTGTGAACCCACCCTTCCAGGTACACACTGATCCCTTCCTCCCTCTTTGCCCTGTGTCCCAGGAGAGTGTGATGCGGCTGCGGTCGGAGATGCAGGCGTTTGTCTCGCAGAGCCAGAGGGAGGCTGAGCTGGAGGAGAAACGCCGCTACCGCTTCCTGGCTGAAAAGCACCAGATGCTCTACAACACTCTCCTCCAGTTCTACAGCAGGGTACGGCTCTGGCGTGCTGGGCAGAGGAGCTGGAGGAGCAGGGAGCATGGCTGGAGGGAGAACATGCAGGCAGGAGGGAGCCAGGGCTGAGCCACCCTTTGGGTGAAGGCAGCATCTGAGCATGGTCTGAGCAGGAAACTCCATTTCTTGCTGTGAGGTCCAGACTGACTGTACTAGGCTGGGAGAGCACAGCCAGTGGTGAGGATAGTGCTGATAGTTGGGTGTGTGAGCAATGGGAGAGGGAAGGGTGATGTAGGTGTTTATGGCAGGGTCATTAGGACCATAGGATCTCTGCTGGAGGGTGCCATCCTAAAAGGCACTCCTGCAGGGCTCTGTTTAGCCATTCCCATCATTGTGGGAGTACCTGGTCTCTAATCTAACGCACACGGCAGCCATCAGCTCCCTCAGTAGCTGTTCTACCCCATCCATCACCCCCTCTTCTCCTCTCTCCCCAGGCCCGGGGTGTGATCCAGACCAAGGAACTCTCCCAGACCCCCCCCCCCCCCACCCCCCCACCCAGCCCCTCGCGGGGGCTTCTCGCCCCCTCCCACAGCCAGGGGTACCCATCAGGCTGGCTCGCCCCCAGCCACCTCGAGATGGTGAGGAGCCCACAGACAGCCTCTGCCTCAGCAGTGCTGGGGCTGCAGCTGCCCCTTTCAGGCTTGCAGGGCAAGGCCAGCCCTTGGCTGACTGTGGTACTTGCTGCCTTGTCCAGCTTCTGTAGTTTTCCCTGGCCAAGATGAAGGGAAGTGTGTGTATTGGCTGCCATAAGGGAATGTACTGGGTTTGGCCTTTTGAGAGGGCCTGGGTGCCTCTCTGGGGCACCTCCTGCTTGATGCAGCCTCTGTGGATTCAGCCTCCTTTCCTTCCAACAGCCCCAGAGACCCCTTGGGGACTTTGCTGCTCCCATGACTGGGAGCAGATCCAGCATCTTCTCTCCAGATCCTCCAGAAATGAGACAGTCTCCTCAGCAAGAGACCCCCAGGCGGCTGCTGCGGAGGACACCCTCAGCCAGTATGTCCCATGTCTAGGAGCAACGCTGTGGGGGGAGAGAGTGGTTGGGCCTCTCTGGGAATGGGGCTGGGATTGGGGAGGGATCCCCACTCTCTCAGGCCACTGGTCCTCAGCCACTTTCTGAGGTGAGAGGACAGTGCATATGGGAGCTGGGGAGTGCAAGGCTGAATGAAGCAGATGTTGAGTGCAACCTCCAGAGTACAGTCCATCCAGGACAAGACCAGGTTTCCTGGCTGTCCATGTGAGGATGAGGAACCCACAAGTGTGCAATTTTCAAGGCTCCTTGAACCATGAGGGCTGGTTCTGACTGGAGTTATCAATTTGGTAATGCACCTTCCCTTGTGCTAGCAGATTAAATACTACCCTGCCCTACAGAACCTAGCCAGTTACCTCATGTCTCACCTGCTTTTCCTTCCTGATAAGCTTTGCTTGAAATGTTTCAAAAATACAAAAAATAAATTGGGCAGGGGGGAGAGGAAAAAGACCCAAATTCTCAGTTGCTTTAGCAGGGTTGGAAAGAGGGACATGAGAGCAGCCAGTAACTGTGCCCCAGACATCTGGCCAAAGAGGACATGGTGCACAGCAAGTGGTTTCAGCTGCAGTAGATTTTCCTGTGCCAGATGAATGTTTTACCCTTTCCCATGGCACGCCCTGCAGAGCAAGGCCACCTGCTCCCCTAGGGTAACCACTTGACCAGGGAAGCGTGGGTCCGAGTCAGGGTGTGTCTCGCAGGAGGCTCCAGCCAAACCCCTCTGCTGCAGGTTTGCTCCCTACTGGCCGTAGCTCCCGCTCGGGCTCCTTCGGCGAGGCCGGCGGCAGCAGCGAGGGCAGGAGGAGGAGCGGCACGGGCAGGGTGCAGGCCATCGCGTCCCACTCGACGGGCGCCAACCGGACCCTGCTGCGGTTTGACCCCGGGGACGTCATCACAGTGCTGATGCCAGAGGCCCAGAACGGCTGGCTCTACGGAAAACTGGAGGGCTCCTCCACGTACGTGACTTCCGCGCTGCCCAGCGGGCTGGTGTAGGAGGATTCAGCCTGAAATTGTCTCCTCCCGGCATGGCCAGGGAGCTGTGCCTCCCCCGCCAGCTGGGTGGGATGTCGCCGTGTCCTCGGTCACGGGCTGTGCCTCACGCGGGGACTCTGCATGCTGATGTGGTGGGGCAGGGTGAGCGCGGCTGAGCTGCCCGAGAAAGCTCCAGGGGCTTGGAGTAGAAGAGCCAGGGATGCAGTGACCCCCTCCCAGCTTGCGTGACTGAGTGGCTCCTGCCATGGGCCCCAGCCCAGGGCCGTGAGCTGCTGGAGTCACCCGAGGGGCCTGGTGTGTCTCAGCTGGCACCAGCAGGGACCTGCTGCACCCCGCGCTCCCTGTGGCACTGCCGGCCAACACACCTGTGTGCACAGCCTGTCCTGCCCCACAGGAGCATCCCTGCACCCTGCTCTGCCGGGAAGCTCACACTCAGGTGTGAGATGAGCAAAAACAATGCCTTTCTTTTTGGGTGGGCGTTCTGGAGTGGAGCTGTTTTGCCCTGAAGAGAAGGGATTTCCACAGCTTCCTTATGTGCTGGCCTTGGTAACCATGCTCAGTCAGAGAGTCTCCTCCTGGACTGTACCAGTGTTGCTTCTGGTAGCAGGTGTTTTTTTTGCACAGCCTCAGAGATAAGCAAATTTGGTCCAAGATCAAGGACTGCCTCACAATAACCCTGTGCCCCTCCTAGAAGTGAAATGTGTGCAGAAACCCTCTAACACGCGGCAGCAGCAGCAGCTTGGTTGGTGCATGGGATGTGTAATAGATCTTGAGGGCTGGGCAGCTGGATCTGAAGAACCACAAACCATGGTTGCCTGGACCTCATTTGTTTCTGCTCCTGTGCTCTAGGTGCGGCTGGTTCCCCGAAGCTTACGTCAAGCCTCTGGAGGATGCAAGGGAGATGGAGGAGCCAGCCACCAGGTAACAGGAGAGCAATGGACCAGGCAGGAGCTTGAGTGGCTCCTGGTAGGTCACTAACACTGGTGGGGTAGCTGTTTGGAGTTGTGCCCCATGGAGAGCTGCAGTGCTCCCCTGATGGAGCTGAGAGCCTTGCTGTGCCCAGAGATCTCTCAGGCTTACCCTAGATGGCTCCCCCAACATGTGCAATATCTTCTCAAAAGCACTTGTGACTGGGCCAGTCCAAGCCATGTGCTCTCTCTCTAGACACACCCCATAGACACATGTTGTGGCCAGCACCTCTGCTGCTCCCTATTCTTTGCTCTTTGATTCTCCCTTCACTGTCTTCTTCTCTTGCTCAGGTCCTTCCCACTGCGAAGCAGTCACAGTATGGATGACATCCTGGACCGTCCCAGCACTCCTACTTCCAGCAATTACTGGCCTGCCTCTGCCCAGCCCAGTTTGCCGAACCCACCTCCCCTCTCGGTGGGGTCCAGCAGTCACCAGAGTGGGAAAGCCACCCCCGTCAGTTCTGTCTCCAAGGTGAGTGCAAGAAGAATGCCTGGAGTGCATGTGTGTGGAGTGGACCACATCTGACTTTCATCCCCCAAGCTATGTATTTTCTGCATTGGCCTGTTGAGAAAGAAAAACACTTTCCAGATGTTGGTGTGTGACCTCCTTCCTTCCTGAGCCGAGGGGTCCTGCTAGCACTGGCCCAGTCTGTTTGCCATGTCCTTGTGGCCACTTCCAGTCAGCCTTGTGTGTGCAGATACTCAGTGCCTGGCTTTGCTTCCCCAGGGGACTGCTTTTCTGCCCCTGCCCTCCTCATTTCTCTCTCTTTTTGCTCACCAGGGACCCTTCAGTTCAGTCCTTTTCTCCATGACCTCCCAGCCTGATTTCTGGTGGCTCCAGGGCAGCACCTCTTTCTGCTAATAGTAGGACCATGGAATGATCAGGCTGGGCTGGGAGTGGGTAACCAGCTAACAGAGATGCCATCCTCCTCCTCCCTTCAGAGAATGGAGAGGAGTTTTGTAGGGCTCCTCTTCTATATTCAAACAAGGATTGGGTCAAAGTGACAGCTGGCCCCACTTACCACTGCTTCCAGCTGTGGAGAATTGACTGATGAGGACAGTCACAGTTGAAGTTGAGAACAGCTGAAGTTGAGGACTTGAGGGAGGGAAGGACCGTGTTGCCTGTGGGGTGTTTACTTGCTCAGTCTCATAGGAGGCTGGGAAACCCTGTCACTGGTTCCAGGCCAGTGTGAGGTTGCAAGCAACTGGATGGCTCAAAGAACTGGAAAATTCAACATTTCATTACTCTTTTTTTTCCTTTCATGTCCTGCTCTGTGGTTTCAGAAAGCCTCAGGTTGCACAACACAGAAGGGAACAGACTCTGCAGCCAGTCTTCCCCTCTGGGTCACTGGTTTCCATCCAAGTCTGAGGTCTAAGGCATAGGGATAAACCTGGGACTGAATATGAATGAACCAAGTAGAATATTTAGAGTGCCATGGCAGAGAAATTGAGCTTTGTTAGAGGTTTTGAGAAGTCAGCCTTGCTCTGGGCTTCTGCCCAATACATCCTTCAATTGAGTCAGGAGCAAATGGGTGCATGTTTGATTTCCCAGTCACACATGGCTACAGCTACAAGAACTGGTGTACTGTAGCAGGCCAGTTTTCACTGAACCCTTATTTTCTACTGGCCAAGAATAAGGGTCAGAGGGCCTAGGTCCATCTTTCCTCGTCAGCCTGGTCCACGTTTAAGCAGTATGTGATGTAGGGTAGGGTACAGCTCTACGGCTCTTGAGTTTCCTATGGATGCAGAAAGCATGCAAAGGCAGGGTTGATAAGCTCTTTGCCAGGGTGTATGGGCAATGTGAGGAGGGCATCTCTGGCTGTGCTGGCAGGGTGAAATGTAGCTCAGATTGTCACTGTTTGCTGTGCTCCTCAGACATGACATGTGGGGATCTGAGGCCTCTCCTTTCTTCCCCAAGACAAAGGGAGGTGTTCTAGTGGAACAGGGAACCTGTGGTGTTTGGACAACCCTCACCACAGAAATCAGGGTGTTATTTGTGGGACTATGCAAAGTTTTAATGAATAAGAAGTCAGAGCCCTATTAATAGGACTTGGGCTCCTAAATCACTTAAGTGTCTTGTGAAATCTTCCTCCGTGTGTGTAGTGTTCCCAGCCCCTCTTTTCTCACCGTTCCTTTCCCCACCCTAGATTGCTCACTGCTGCCTTTCTTTTCACTGCAGAAATCAGGAGCATTTGACCAGCCCCCTGAACTCTTCCCACGGTGAGTGAGGCATGGAGCTCTGCTCTGGAATCCTTTTCCTGTGGGGGCAGGGGTATTATTACAATACTAGTATTACTTAATCTTTTGGATTATCAAATGTGAGAGGGACAGGGAAGTGTCTAGAGGAAAGAGATGTACAGCCCACCTTCCAGGACACTCTGGCTGACTGGGAGGGCTCTCTCCTGTCTCTGGTGATAGGAGGTAGGGCCGGAGCACCCTGAGCAGGTGGCCAGGCCTGCATGCTCCTTCTAATCCATTTTAGAAGAGCCACAATAGCAGCTCACAGCCTGAGTGTGGAGCTACTTGATCTGTGCAGCTTTGCCTGCTTGGAAAGGACTGAGGCACAGGGGACGTGGCTTTTAGCTTTGATGAGTCAGGTCCGTGGAGACGAAACTTGCCATAAATCCCTGCTTTCCTTTTCCCTGCAGCTGGGTTGGTGTCTCCATGTTTCTGGCATGGTACTGTGGCCTCTTTCTGCTCCCTGACTCCTTGCTCAAAGGGTCAGGGGCCACATGTAGAGTGCTACTGCAAGGCACAGCCTTATGCTAGTGTCACTTCTTCATCCTATGGAAGAGGAAGGATGAAAATCCCTGAGGAGAGCCCGAGGGGAATTGCACGAGAGCCTGCAGCAGAGTGTGTTAAGGGTGGAGAAAATATACTCAGCAGCCAGCTTTTCTACACTTTCCTTCTTGGCATGGAGGTGGCTCTTCAGCGGGACTAAGAAGCCATTGCTTGGTCAGCAGGCCCCCTGCGTGGTCTTTGCAGATTTCCTGATAGTTGCCTGTTTCCTTTCTCCTTCCAGAGGTACCAACCCCTTTGCCACGGTCAAGCTGCGTCCCACAGTCACCAACGACCGCTCGGCACCCATCATCCGATGAGGGGGGCTGCAGGTGGCAGGGGATTTCAGCAGGGAAGGGGGAAGACATCTGAGTGACAGGCTGTGACCCCCAGCTGGGCAGCAATCTCGTGCTGCCACTCATGCAGTAGCTTCTCTTTTCCCCTCCCTTCCCTCTGGGTAATGGGGACACATCTTGCCTGCCTGTCCGGCAGCAGCAGATCCCGGCTGCTCTTTTGGCTTGTCCCCTGTGCCCTCTCCCCATGTGATGTTACTGTTCTTGAGAGGGAGAAGTCTGGTGGTACGGGTGGCCTGGAGAGGAGGATGCTGCTGGTCTGTGAGGTGGAGGGACAGATGGGTAAGATCATCTGCAGCATGGGGCAGTGCTAGCAGGATGAGGAAGGCGAAGCTTTGCTGGCTCTGCTGTGGGCAGAGAGGACATTTGCCAAACAGTCGCTTTGCTACCAGAAGAGTGAATTCCAAAGGGAGGAATGCCACGAGAAGGCATCCAGTGATGTGGTCCAGCTGATGGGATCTGCAGCACACAGCTCTCTGCTCTCAGACCCTTTGACAATTGGTGTCCCTCTGTAGCAGCATCTGCCTCTTCTTGCCCCCAGTGCAGCCCCTTCCCTTGCTGGGAAGCTCTGGGGCAAGGTGGGGGTGGGTGACAGTGCCCAGCACTTCTGTCCTGCTCCTTTGCCTATTGTCCTGCAGAAAAGATTTGTGGGTTGTTGTTGTTGTTTTTTTTAATAAAATGGAGAATGCTGCTTCCATAGCTGTCTCAGTGTCCAGGACATTGCCTCAGTCAGAGGACACAGCAGGCTGAGAATGCAGGGTCCCCACTGGCACTGGAGCCATGATGGCTGCCCACGGTCATGGCATCAAATGCTGCAGTGCCATGGCTCCAGCAAAGGCAACCACTAGCCCAGGGGCCCAGGGCAGACAAGGAGGGCACCAGGCGAGCTGCATGGGCCCCCTCAAGTCAGCCTTCTGGTGGATGGCAGCAAGCCCCCATTTCCCAGCCACCATGTGCAGGCAGCCTTACCCAGGAGAGCAAGGCATGGTGGCCATCTTCTTCTGGCCCAGGCTGCAAGCACCAGGGGTGCCACAGGACAGCTCGGTGTGGGGGGCTCCCCCCAGGGACCTGCTGGGGCCTGTGGGTGCCTCACCAGCCTGGCCCCACCATCAGGGCCAAAGGGAGAGTCAGCGAGGGAGGGAGTGTGAGCACCAGCCAGGGCTTTAGCTGATTAGCCTTATTAATAGAAATTAAACCCTGGCTGTGAACACTGCAAAGCCCCTGCAGCTCCCCCTGCCCTGCCACCAGGCACAGCAGTGGGGGCTGAGGGGCTTTAGGAGTTTACAGCCTGGGCCTTTCTCTCTCACCTCCCCAGATCCCACCTGGGATGATCCCTGGCACCCTCTGTGGAAGTAAAACGGGTTCCCCCATCCACGGCTGGAGACTGGCTTGTCCCTGGCACCTACCAGAGCCCCTTCCCGGGCAGCAGCTGCTGAGGGATTTCATTTTTGCGGGGGGTGGTTGGTGAGCTGCCAGGGGTGGGCTGGAGCCTGCCCTTTGAGCCACGGACAGCAGTGATTCTTCATCTGCTCCACCTTGCCTTTGCTCTCTGCTGGGCATGTGCCCGGTGGGACCAGGCCAGCACCTCTCCATCCTTCTGGCTGGTGACAGAGGAAGTGGTGGGGGGTTTGGAAAGCAGCCCCCTCCCCATTGTGCCCCTTACTGAAACAGGGACTCTTGCTCTCATGCCCCTCTGCTCCCCTCTCCAGCACCCCTCCCTCCTGGCTGGAGCCATCACCAGCACCCCCAACTTTCCCCTGGCTTCCTCCTGCCTCAGCCCCTCCAAATCTGCCCCCTGCCACCCTGCCCTGCTGGAGGGAAAGGCAAGGAGCCCCTGGGCAGCGGGATTACTCGGGGATTCGGGCCACGGCAGGCAGCCACCTCCTCCCCATTGGCTGGAAAAGCCTCTTAAAAGTGGAGAAGTGCTTTCTGCCCGCTCAGCACCCGCCAGTCTCTGCCGACCTGAAACCATAAGCAGCTGCTGACCCCCATCCA